TTATAGCTACCATTGTAATTGAGTCTAAGAAAATCCAAGTTGTTAATAAAGTTTTTTTGAGGAGACATATTTAATTACTAATTCAACCCAACACCTATTTAATATGCTCTTCCTAGTACGTTAGCACCTACCACGGCCTGTTTAGCCTTTGGTTCATAGAGTCGTTGATAACGTGACCTTTCCGAATGTTACTGTTTTGGATAGCAATGCTTATTACAACGCCTTTATTTTCGAGAAAAAAGTCAAGTACTAGTGTTTAATATACATTACAATTATATTAGTTTTAGGTTACTTTATGCATAATGGTTGTTTAAAATAGACTTGTTTTCAGGTAGAGCGTAAATTGTGGAAATTTGATTTTGCTTATCACATTTATACATGTTCGAACATTTTTATTCAAGAACTTATTTAATTTTTGTTTCATTTTACCATTATATAGCATTGTTTTTTTAGTTCCAACAATGTCCGACAGTACATAAGTAAAAAAAATACATCCTGACTAGTATTCGTTATTATATACATTATAAATATTAAATATCGAGTTTTTAAGTCAGCATGGCCGAGTGGTTAAGGCGTTAGACTTGAAATCTAATGGGGTTTCTCCGCGTAGGTTCAAATCCTGCTGCTGACGTGTTTTTAGGGATATTGACTTACTTTTTTATATAAAAGTATCTCGTTACATTGAGATTAAAAAATGATGTTGAAGGTAGCATTAAAAGCATAAGACTGCATTTCAGCTATATGACAGACTAATGTTGTGATATTCCCGTAAGAGTGAGTTTGTCGTGTAAACGTAGATTAGTAGTTGTATTTATTTACATTTACGATGCTTTACAAAAAAATGCCAGTTAAATATTATAGGGCTTTTTTTGATACACGTTCCTCTTACACGCAATAAATTTCACACCATTTATTCTTTGAAACGTTTTGATCTTTGGAAATCAACCTATCTATAGTTATAACTTTCACTCACTTTGGATTACTTCGACACCCCATATTAGATTTACAACACCACCATTAAATTCTTTTGAATGAGTATTGGTTAGCTATAATCATTGTATGAACCTTTTCAAGTCGCTGTCAACGAATCTATGATTCGGTATCTTTGTTCATATTATTATTGAACGTTTATTGCCACTCTCACAATTTATCATATCAAACTCCTTGTATTAATGTATTACTCTTATAGAAGCTGCGTAACTTGCATTTATTCGCCTCATAAATTTTTTCTATATATCACGTTGGCGAATGAATAACTAACCTTACATCACCGTTTATCTTCACATGATATGAATTCACTCGCATTTTATATCCAAGTCTATGTTTAAAGGTTCTCTCCTTACATATATTCCCAACTTAATGTTTTTTATAAATTGTATGGTCTGTTTACTTAGCCGACTATGGTAGTGTCATTACTTCTAAGCAAACAAATGCATACTTCGAAAGAGGAAGTTGAACTGCAATGAATTATTCAGAGTCACTCGAACTCATTTAAGCAATATACTCAGTCGTTTTCTTAACACACTATGTAGTATGAACGTTGTTCGGCGTGATATTTTGTTGAACTTAAAAAGAATTTTATGAACTCATTTGAAATACATACTACATAAACGCCTTGTAATTTGAATTTTTATCGACAAATGAACGTTAGACCTTTCCTTGGTTCTTCCTCTAATAATTTCTTACTATCACGTTGATAAGTTTCATCCTTTTGATTTAAATAGCCAAATAGAACGTAAACAATGTACGAGCGTCTTTCTAATTTATTCAAGGAACATACGAAGGTATCACAACAGCTTGATTTCCTAAGATCAGAGTCAAAAAATGAAGAAATTAATAAAACTGCACTTGAGCTCGTAAGTAAAGGTGCGTTAAAAGATGTGATGGTCTTATATGGAAGAATATCCAATGTTGAGATTAAAAAATCAGTTGAGGAGTATATTGTTTACCGATTAGAGTGTTGTATCGAAAAAAATGAAATTCAAATGATTAAGACCATATATAAAGGAATACCTATTGGATCACAGTTGCACGTACAGCTTAAAAATCGTATAAATGAATATCTTTTGAGTATGAAAACAAAAATTGACTCGTCACTTCATTTCATAAAAATATCATACGATTTGAATACGGATCTGGCAACGAATGTATTATTTGCGTTTTTTAACACGTTTAACGAGTGTTTGCTTGAGATGGATAGTTGGATTAAAGAATGCAACGATATTATCAGTATGCTGCACCACAAAAAATACGAACTTATTTTGTGTACTCGTTTATTTAAATACAGCAGTAATGTTCTCAGTTCCAAAGAAGTAACAATAAAGTCAGAATGTGCAATCGATGAATATGCTCGCACAGGCAATAAAAACAATATTACAAGTAAAGCAGAAAATGTGATGACTTCTCGTAAATCACAAAATCTTTTTGTGCTTAAATCTATTTATAAAGAACGAGAGCTTAAATATTTTAGTGGATGCCTTTCTGGCGCTCTTATAAAAAATTGTAGAGGCAGAGATGAGCTCAAATATTTGATAAACAAAATTGCCAAACGATCTATGAGTATAAATGTTATGATAAAAGATGAAATGAAAAATATGATAAAAGAGCTCGCGCTTGAGAATGAAAAAGAGTTTATTTTTCTACTATGAAAGATATTGCATTGCCCTAATATCTTATATATTTATATGTGGTGGGCGAATAAAGTAATTTTTTAATTTAATTTTCGTATTGATATTTCATCATTTTTGTTTTGTTTGCCCGTTTGGATGCGATGTTTTATAACAGTCGTTCTTACAAAGTAAATCTTTTTTGATATGTGATTATATAAATAAAAACCAAATAGATTCCTGTTATCATTATTAAATCGTAAATATTGTAATTAAACATCAAGCATCATTCTATATTTGTAATAGCACCGTTATTAATATTTATATTGCTCGTTAATCTTATTCATATCTACGATAAGTTTATTTTATACCTTTTTCAATTTTGCTAAGCAGCTATAAATCTTCTAAAAACAAAACTAATATTAAGATTAGAATAATATTAAGATTAAAATAATACTAAGACTAAACCTTTTTAATTAAAATAAATTTACTTAACGCAATTTTATACCAATGTACACACCAATATTAAACCAATAATTGCTGCGTAAAGACGTTTTATACCTTGTGTAAACAATCTATGCTATTTATGCATCCCTGCTATTTCACCCGTTGCATAAACAAATATTTAATTAATCATATCTATGCATAAACAAACCGGGACCCTCTCATGCCATCTAACGTTTTCCTCGATACAAACGATTTCTCATGTCCACCCAAGGTGTATAAAAAGAGGAAGACCCTGTGGGCCATAATATATCCAATATTTACATTTCTAATACCAAGTAAGATACTGAGCATATGTGGAATGAAGACGAAGGAGGTGCGTAATGCGTGGAGAGAAAAGATAGCACTGGTATCAATTATATTCTTTCTTTGCATTCTGCTTGGTTTTCTTACGTTTGGGATGAACATTGTGGTGTGCAAGGGCTCGAACCAGTACATCTACGGGAAGTTGCCCGAATTTCCTGCCCCCGTGGTGATCGGAAATGGCGAGCTTTACTACTCGGATGAGTACGAGGGTCTCATACACAATCTGAAGACTGTCAAATCGAGCGCATGCAAGAGAAGATTTGGAGAGAGCATCACAGACAGCGGTGTTGATCCGGATGAGCTGATCAAGATTGCAGATATCTACTTCAACTTCAACGACATAAAACGGCTTAACCTTATTCTGATTGGTGACCGGGTGTACGATCCTTCAATCGTAACACACGGTTTTTACGACGAGTTCATCGCGAAGTACACAGGCAAAATGGCCGATGATAACGACCTTGATTCACTTGCGCTGCAGTGTTTCAAGGACAGCTGTTACTTTGGTAAACTGGGCGGAAAGACGTACGGATGCCTGGTGGCCGACATCCTGCTGTATCTGTCCACGGTGATCATTTTCAGTCTGATAATACTAAAATTTGTGCTTGCCATCATTTACTCGTGGCTGATTCGAAAGAACAGGGTGGCAAACGAGAACCTGCCGTGTATTATGCTGGTCACGTGCTACTCTGAGGACAGGGAGGGCATCAAGAAGACCCTTGACTCGCTGTGCAACCAGAACTACCTTGAAAAGGTTATTCTTGTAATTGCGGATGGCCTGGTCAAGGGCAGCGGCAGTGAGACGACCACCCCGGACATTATCATTGAGCTGATGAACGTGGATAAAAGGCGGGAGGCCGCCGAGTACAAGTCGCTCAACGGCACGCTCAACAGAGGCGTGGTGTACAGCGGGACGTACAACAGCGACACGAACACGTGCAAAATGGTGGTCATCGTGAAGGTAGGCCGGGAGGACGAGCGCTCTAAGCCGGGGAACCGGGGAAAGAGGGACTCGCAGGTAATCATCATGGGATTCTTCCAGAAGCTGTTGTACCAGGACCGCATGTCCGATCTTGATTTTGAGATCTACGAGGCGTTCAAAGACGTGATGGGCATGGAGCCGCGACACTTTGAGATGATCATGATGGTAGACGCCGATACGATCGTGCACCCGGACGCGCTGCTCCACTTCAACAGCGCATTCGTAAACGATCCCAAGATCATGGGCATGTGCGGAGAGACAAAGATCATCAACAAAGGCGCCAGCTGGGTAACAATGATACAAGTGTTTGAGTACTACATCAGCCACCACCTCACCAAGACCTTCGAGAGCGTTTTCGGGGGTGTTACGTGCCTGCCCGGCTGTTTCTGCATCTACCGGATAAAAGTTAAAGAGAACGATAAGTACGTGCCCATCCTCGCCAACTCCTTCGTTCTTGGCCCCTACTCCGTAACACGTACTGAGACCCTGCACGAGAAGAATCTGCTGTTGCTCGGCGAGGACCGCTACCTCACCACTCTGCTTCTGAAAACGTTCTACAGGCGTAAACTGATCTTTCTGCCTGCTGCTACGTGCCGTACATACGTGCCAGACACGTTCTCAGTGCTGCTCAGCCAGCGTAGACGATGGATCAACAGCACGGTTCATAACCTGATGGAACTTGTATCGGTGAACGCATTGTGTGGCACGTTCTGCTGCTCAATGCAGTTTGCCGTGGGCGTTGAGCTGGCAGGCACCCTCGTACTGCCCGTATCCATCATCTTTACGTTTGTACTCATCGCTGTTTCTATACTCATCAAACCGGCATGGATCCCTCTAATCATGCTCGCGTGCATCTTTGGTCTGCCTATTATTCTCATTCTGGTCACATCATTTAAATTGCAGTACGTCTTTTGGCTGTTTGTTTATATTCTGAGCTTGCCCGTCTGGAACTTGGTGCTACCCGTGTACGCCTTCTGGCACTTTGATGATTTTAGCTGGGGAGAAACACGAAAGGTTGATAATGATGATGGCGGTGGACATTATACGGTGGAACAGCCCACCACGCACCATTTTAACCTATACTCGCTCGAAGAGCGCATGTATGCGAGGAGTAAGGACAGGCCGATCGAGGTTGCAGAGAGAGAATTGATAGAAAGACAAATTAGGAGTGCAATGGAAGGCAGCATCGACGATAATCTGTAACTTTGTAATTAAAAATGTATTCACACGCAC